CCTAATCCCCTGTGTGCCTTGCCTCCAGACTGGTGCACCTATAAAAATATTAAAATAATTTTCGATAAAATATAATGACCAAAATACCTCTTGAAGATTTTAGAGGTATTTTGGTTATTTTATTTGATTAAAAATATTTTTTTATATTTTTTATTAGAGCAAGTTTAATAGAGGATCGGATTTACAAAATTTGGTATCAAAATAGTTTATATAAAAAAATTAAAAATAAAATAATCTACCGACGTGACATTGTGATTGGGACAATCTTAACCCTCCATTCAGAATGGACAGTTGAATAAAAAGAAATATACAACTTTTATGTTGCAGGGAAGCATAGAAAAGCTTGCCCTTTCTAAATAGAAAGGAAATTAAATTGGCAATAGCTACTCAAGATAGCAAGAAAATGAAATTTACATGGTGAGATCAACGGGGCAATAGCTACTAATTTTCTTGGAATGTTGTGATGCGCAGCTTGCGAACAGAAAACTTCATGTCAAATCAACCGTCCATTATTGCTAGTGGATAAGTTTTAAGTTATGCCCCATCGGCCTTGCTTCCATAACAGGCGGTCGATGTCACCTAAAGTCTACTGTTTCTGTACTGCGAAAATCACTGTTCACTTTAAAAAACCTAACCTAATCCTAATTTTGCTGATCCCCGATTTCACATGGCCCCCACATTCCACTGTCTCAGCGGGCGGCAATAAAATAACCTCACTGCTATTGGCACCCATATTTTCGGTATAAAAACACAGAATACAACACTGAACAGTGAAAACTGAAAGATTGTATGCTCTCTCGCGGGAGCATATTGGGAAAACCCTCACATGACTATTTTTAATATCTCTGGTTCATTGGCATGGTAAAGACACTAATAGCTGACTCAGGTGCTCAGTTCCGGCATGGTCTAAGGGTTCATAGCTTGGTTCAGGGGTCTAAATAAGCCAGAGAGGATGCTAGACCTAAGCCCATTGCTTTGCAGCTAAGCTAATATGCATCGGATAAAGAAAAGCAGGTGACAGAGGTGAGAAGTTACCTACTCCCTCTCGTAGCCAAGCGCTGCCTGCCCCACATGCAATCAGTCTGCTCTGCTGGCCCCATTTTCTTTGCACAATTCCATGTGTTCATTGGAGTAGGGGGGAGGGTTAAGGACTCAACATATGATTTTCTAAGATTTAAGGTTTTAAGAAATTTCAAAATTCGATTTTCTAAGATTTAAGGATTTAACAATTTAAACATTTATAACTTTTCAATGATCATGTGTCTTTTGATGGTAAATTGAAATTAGATCAAATGATATCGATAACAAGTTAAGTAGTTCATTTCTAATGAATATTCTTGTAAATTTCACTTTCTTTTTTTTTAAGTTTGCCATCCAATACTCAAGGCTATTCTATACTTCTATAATTTCAGATCAGAAAAATCCACGTGAGCATGTCTACAGCTTGAAATATTAAATATACAGTATGATCCTGTGGTAGCAGCTCATAGTCACGCTCGGTCTCTCCACCAAAGATTTCGGATAAAAAAAACTGGAAAAAGTGGTGCGAATAAGAGAATATAAACCAGGTTTTCATCCATTTTCAAATCCGCAAGGATTATGGCCGCGCAGTATTTAAAGGCGGGCTTTTGTGGAGTCGCCAGCAGCACTGTCTTTTCACCACCTGCAAACACACATTCTCTCTCTCTCTCTCTCCTCCCATTTCTTTTTAGGGCAAAAGCTGCTCTGCTTCTTTGGAATTACTGTTCTCTTTCTCTGTCTAATTTCAAGGCACTATTCTTGTCTGGTCACCCGGTTTTATTCGATATTGCAGGTCGAAGAGCGAGAAGAGCCTCTTTGTTTTCTGCTTTTTAGGGTTTTGTTAGAGGTTTATGTGCGGTCTCGCCTCGATCCTACGGTCAGGGCCGCTTTGCTTTCATTCAATACTGTTTTAGGGTTCTACTGTGTAGATTCGAAGAGTTTCTTTACGGCTTTTTGTGTGGTTGATGGGCCTGTTTTTTTTTCTTTGTCGGATTTTGGTCGTGTTTTGAGCTGAACGGGGTCAGAATCAGGTGAGATTGGTAAATTTTAGGGTTTCAGTTGCTTGAGTTTCGGTGTCTGACTGTTATTGGAGTGAAAAAGAAGGGAAACTGAGTTTGATTGATGGATTTTAAGGTTTTGTTTGCTGAAGTTTGGAGATTTTGAAAAGTAAGCTTGCAAGAACTTGATATACTACTGTTTGTGATCTCTTGGTTTGGTTTGAGACGAGCTTTTAGAAGTGATACCAGTATTAGAAAACCCAAATAGCTGTGAAATGTTCTGATTTTTCACAGAGCAAAGATTGAAGTACAGGAGCTAAGATTGGGGGAGATTGTGGGATGCATCAGAGCAAATTAGCATTTGTGGGTTACTCCGAGAGCTTCGTAGACTAAGGAAGGAAATTTTTTTCGAGCATTTGTTACGCTGTTTTAAGTTTTAAGAAAGTAGTAGGACCTTTCTTAATTTGATCAGAATTTTTTGGGAAGAGACTGAGTTCCTTGGTGTTCAAGTTGTCAAGGAGTCTAAGAAGGCTTTGATTTGTGATTCTGTGTTTATTTAGACAACGATATAAGCTGCAAAAATGTTGCCCTTTGAAAAGTGCATGTGGAATGGTGTGTTCGGAGATAATTTTTGCAGAAAAGCATGATGATCGCACAAAAGAAGAACGTATTTTGACAAATATCTCTGATAAGCTCTTCTTCTTCTCCCTTCTCTTTCATTCAGTGGTTATTTAGTGCTTAAGCACGTAATTATTTGGCGTTTCAAGCCTTCACGCAAAAGTTTGAAGAACATATTTTTCTTTTCATTAGAATTCCATGGCCATCATCGTTTCAGACCCAAAAATCCATGTTACCAGGGCTTCTATTGTAGGCCTTTGCATCTTGACCTTTTAATTTTTGGCAACTTCTCGGAAATCAGGAAAAGGAAGTATCTGCCCTTTCGTGGTTCCAAGAGAAGGGGCCTGAAGACTATGGGCCAACTGCTTCTTAGTGCTTCAGGGCCACCATTAAAACGGAGAGCTGGTTTGCGAAGAAAACAAGCAGGAAGGGGTTCATATCGTGGCAGCTAGATAGGGAACTGAAGTAGTGAATACTATTGTCTTTTTTAAGAGGATTCTGTTAAGAATCTCTCTCTCTCTCTCTCTCTCTCTCTCTCTCTCTAAGAGGTGTTTCCAGCTTTGATCTCTGGTCATTCAAAGCTTGGCAAATGGAAACACCACTGAGGCAGTTGTTGAAAGGCTTTTGCCATGACTCGGAGTGGCAATATGCAGTGTTTTGGAAGCTCAAGCACCGGAGCCGCATGTGAGTGGATTCCTTAAAGTTCGATCATTTGTTGTATTATATGATTTTTTTTTTGGAAACACTGATGATTTTTCCAGGAAAGATGCTTTTGCTCAAAATAATTTTCACAATTGAAATGATTTTGTTGAGGTCCATAATTTCGATTTGTTACATACGTCCATTTCGATATGTGGAGTCAGGGTACCACTTCAATTCAAGTTTGTGATAATATTTCGGCATGATTGTGGAATTTTTCTGTGTGATTGAGAAAAATATGATGATTTAAAGGCCTATTTCTTGTAAAACTTTCAAACATATATTCATAATTTCATCTTTACTTGTAGGAAGGCTAAGATGCTTCTTAAATCATTCTGAATTAGATCTAAAATGATGTTTTTAGATGCATGCTTATCACTTTCTGATAGATGTTTTTTTTTTTGGGGTATCATCCCTTTCTCAGGCTATTGACTTGGGAGGATGGGTATTATAATTTTCCAAAACCACCCTGCAATATACAAGATACAACAACCAATGCATTTTTTAATTCCATCGGCGGTGCAGATTATTCTAGTGATGCAATAGATGGACGTGTTAGGCATTCAGTGAGGGACCCAATTGGAGCGGCGGTGGCAAATATGTCATATCTTGTGTATGCATTGGGGGAAGGGTATGGCTATTTTCTTTTCCTCTTATATTGTTCACATCTTCTTTTCTGAAAGTGTGATACATAAATTGGATTTATGCATTTCATGAACCCATCGTGCAGGTTGCCACTTTTTTTTTCTTTTTCTTTTTTCCCTGCTAGCTGCTATATTTTCTTCCAACCTTAATGCTATGATTTTTTGGCATGGTGCTAACTAATCCATTTTGTTTCCTAAGATTGAATTTACTTCTAAATAGTGTTTTAAAAGCCAAACCAAGGACTTGATCTGGTCACCCACTGGTATGGATCCACCCGTACCAGCTCGCAGGTTCTCCAGGACTTTCTTTATTACAAAATAAATATATTAAAAAAATTGGTAGGAATGGTGGGAACTGGGCAAAACTGGGGGTTCTTCGACCTTGGCCGGTCCACTTGCCAATTCTGAGCCGGCTCTCCAGGTTTTTAAAAACTGCTTCTGAACCTTATATTGTATCACTTTTGAATCTAAAGCAAGCTGTCAAATTAAGATGACAAAAAGCCCTTTTCACTAATCATTTTATGCATTAAATGGATGGGACCAAATCATTCTGGCATGTTGACATGTGGGCATTTGGTTTCATTTAATGGATGGAACCAAATGGATGAGCACGTGGCTTGGGGTTGCCACCCGGAGTGCACTGAGCACCCGGACTGTGGGATGCCACAGACGTGACGTTTTGATCTCTTCAGGTGCTGAGAACTCGACTTTTGTTAGTGGCCGGACCTTTTTTGTGTTGTCGATTTCTTGCTTTCTTGTTCTTTTTGTACAGGGCTCCCCTGCGTGGGATGCTACCTTATTAAACTCACATCTCGTGAGGATTTTGTAAACTTTATATTTCTATGTATTTATTGTGAACTTTTCAGGAGAAAAAAAAATGTTGGTATTTGGTTATGATGGGTCATTTGATCATTAATTATGGGAAAAGTCTAATGTGAGTCCTCGGTCTCATTAGTCCATCCATGTTTTCCATTGAATTAGGATGTAAAACACATCCTAAAGCATTGGAAATGCATTTTTTCCTTAGATCCATCTTTTGCAGCTTCAAAAGTGGTGCAGATATGATAATCTGCAAATAAGTAAAATGAACGATGTAAAGAAAGCTCAAAAAGCACTTTTCCAAATTTTCACTTTTTCAGATGCAGGATCACCATGGTCGAGATTACAAAAATCCATCTCTAAGATGGATTTGGAGGGGGGATGTATATAAACCAGTGCATCAGCTGGTGCACCAAAATCTCATCCGTAATTATGTGAGGTAATTTGGTTTGAGGGACAGCAAAACATTTAAAAAATGAGACCTTCTGTGGACCCAGTTAGTGTCAGTTTAGAGAGGGCATTGGTTTTGAGAAATTTTAAAGAATTTATGATGTCTGTTAAAATTCATGTAACATACAACTTGCCATCTGAACATATTTGAAGTTAAAAAGGTAGAATAATAGCATTTTGGTCATCTAGTATTTAACTTCTGGTATCCTAAGGACCCTAATTCTCTCTCTCTTGTTTTTTTTTTTTGTAATATATAATTTGTCGGAAAGATTTTCTCTTGAATTTAAATTTTTATGTTGTTTTTTTTCATATATAATCTTAGTAGTGATAGTGAAATTTGAGAGGGTATCAGTTTCTGTCTATGAGAAGAGAACCATTACAACGTTAAGGATTTGCACAGGATTTGTCTCAGATTTAAAAGGATTTGTTTTGTAAGGTTTGACTGCATTCAAAGTAAACTATTTTGTGGTGGATCATTGTTTAACCATGGATATTACTGTCCTTGTGTAAAAATAACATTGATTTGATTTTTGGGTGAAATCCACATGAAATTACCACGGCCTCTTATGGTAGTACATTGTGATTGGTTTGTATTACTATTTACTATCACTGGATGATTGACTACATAGTTTGATGCTTGGGGGCTTATTTTGGATGTCACTTGAATGATCCTGACACTACATTCTCGACTATGTAAAAGCCATCATCTGTCGATATGGCAGACTATGAAAGGATTATTCATGGCATAGCCAACCATAATCATATAAAACCCATGAATATGAATAAATGTCTTAGTAAGATAAGATCCAAAGTTAAATCATAGAAGGTTGGTGGGGACATGTCAACAGGTATCAAGTTTTAAGCCTGTGTTCGTTTGGCCATTCAAGCTATCATTTTTTAACAGAGACTAAGTCACAAGCTAGGAGATTAAGTCAATTATTATTATTATTTTGAACAGAGACTGAGTCAATCACAACACAACGTGTTTATCTTTGACATGAAAAACCAATTTTCTGTTGTACGAACATACACTGGGCTCCCTTGTGTGTTATTGTGGAAAATAGAAATTTAATTGCAGAATAACTAAGGTGTAGATCGAAAGATGCCAGGATTTTATTGTCATTGTTTACCCATGGCTTAAAAATATCTTCATCTCAGATTCTCCCACAATTACTTTTAGGGTTAGTTATTCCAAAAAGCATATATCTCAACAAGAATTTGGTTGTCTATCATTTGAAAATTGATAGGGAAAGTGAAAACATCTCTTGCCTTTTGATACTATTCTTAATTTCTCTATTATACCTAACTAACACGAAACAAAGTATCTGATAATGCGATAGTCATTTTTAAATTGAAGCTATTTCTGGGAGTACTCGGGTTAAGTGTGTGTCATTGGATCATCAAGTGTGAGCTTCACATTGAACTTTATTTTAAAAAAAAGAAAGAAAAAAGAAGAAAAGAAAAGTGAAGTGACAAAACATTTGGGATTGTAAAAAAGCTGCTAGTTGGAATCACTCCTATTTTTATTGGTTAGGGACAATTGATTTGAAAATGTATAGCTTATTTTCAGCAAATGAATTATTTATTTGACTTATGAGTGACTTACATCAGAGTGATGCTCATTGAGCAGGATTATTGGTCAAGTGGCATTTTCAGGGAGGCACTACTGGGCTTTTGCTGAAAAGGTTTTCAATGGTGAAGGGAACTCTCAGTTTGTGCCCGAGGTCAGTGATCATGAAAAGCTTCTAAGAAATCTTGAAGAAGTTGATATTTCTCACTTATTTTAGTTCTGAATTGATCACATTCTTCCTTTGCACAGTATCCAAGTGAATGGCAATTTCAGTTTGCTGCTGGTATTAAGGTAATTTGAATGGCTGTATGCCTTGAATGGTCCCCATTTGCACCTAAGGTTTAGCTAGTGGCTGTTACCTTAGATGTTTTATATTATTTTGCAGACCATTGTCCTCATACCTGTTGTGCCACATGGGGTAGTGCAGCTTGGGTCCTTGAAACTGGTGAGTGAGAATATTTAGACTCATCAAATGATCATCTTCCTTGTATACATATTCCTATTAATATTAAAGCTATACCACCCTTTTTCCTCGCATATTTTATGGCACGATTTTCAAAACATACATGTGCAAACAAGACCTGTCTTTGTATTTTCACATAAGGAGTTCTCTTTTTACAAGTAAATTTTATTGTTGTGTGACAAAGGAGTTCATGAGTTACATCAAAATTATTAGATTTTGAGGAAGGCATGGAAAATTTCCTTTTACCCCTATTCCTCAATTGCTCCCTTATGGCTCGATGATGTTCTCAGTGTCCCTCTCAGGCTTCCTATTGTTGAGACTGTCATTGTTATAACATACATTTCTTAATTTTCAAAATTCCTATTCATCTATCCGACTATTTTGAGTAATATCAATTGTAACCCAACTAACAAACTATTGAATTATTCTCTCATCTGTTGCACCCTTATCCACTTTGATCTTGTGTATGACAGATGCACTCTCTGCCATAGTCTCTGCCTTGTTCTTTCTTCTCTCCTTCGCACTAGACCTCACTGACCTGGATTTTGTCAATAATGTCCATTCCCTCTACTCATCCTTTCTCACTCTCTTTACTGCTAATACCAACCCCATACCTGTCCTCTCTACTTCATATGCCACATACACTAACGTGGTGCCATGCTCCCTGCCACATAATCTTGGACTGTCTCCTCTTCACCCACCATCCTACTGTTTTCAAAGCCTTTTCCCCTTTGGTTGTCACTTGTCACCTCCACCATATACCTATGTTTCTGATCTTTTCAAATGCTGCTTATCTCCTCCTGATGTTTGGAAAAAGGTAATCGATGTTGTTTTATGGTATGAATTCATGCTTCCTTGCCCCTATGCAACAGTAAGCTGTACTCTCATTGAATATGCCACTTTCATTGTTCATCAGATTGTTTCGTTGTTCTGAATTTAAGGGATTTGCAATGCCACCTGCTATAATTTAGCTCTCCAGGTCCCTTGCTCCTATGCAACAGTAAGCTGTGTTCTCATTGAAAATCCCACTGTTTTTGTTCATCAGATGTTTTCTTTGTTCTGCATTTACGAGATTTGGACTGCCACCTGCCATAATTTTGTACAAGTATGGTTTTTGTGGATGTATGTAGAAACATTGGATGCATAGGTGTATTTATGAATTAATTGCTTATCGATCATTGCTCTTTGGATTATGTAATTATGATATTCCTCTTGAATATTATGCACAAGATCATGACACGAATCAACAATTTTATAAACCTAATGGTTTGACATTTGATAAATTGATTTCCAAGAATTTAGTAGATATTACTGTATAATTGTTTATACATGTTTCAATTGCAACTTTGGCCTCAATAATGCTTTGGTGTGATATATATTGTGCAATGCTCACCCTACACGCCCACACTTGCCTAAGGCTCCACCAAGCCAATGGTTTTGATGTGGTCATTCATTCGGTTCGGCTGTCTTCCTTTCTGTTCTATCTAACCATTGAATTTATGATTTCTACTTTGTGGCACTCATTTTCATAATAATTTATTGGCAGAAGTTTGACGGATTTCTCATACCATGATTTTTTTTTTCTTGCGTGAATAAAATTAAACTGATACCATGATTATTTGCCTGTTGAAATTGCAATGTCTCCAGTGAGGAATTTGTACGAATACATATATTACGTTCCCTAATATTTTTTTTGATTCTCCGGTTATCATGGCTTTCTTGATTTGTGTTTATTGGTTTGCAGCTTATGGAGGATTTAAAGCTGGTGGATCATGTCAAGAGCTCCTTCAACATGTTACAGAATAAAGCTGGGGCTTTCTTTCCAGATCCTGTGCATTGCAGTTCAAACAAGAATAACCCAGATCCAGTATCATCATCTTTTGATTCAATCTCTCAGAATTCTTTTGCATCATCGGCTATTTACCCATCAATTTCAAGAGGAATCCAAGCTGAAAACTTGGTGGAGAATAGTGCGGCCCCCTTGGTTTCAAATTCATTTACTTATTTCCTCAATCAAGTTGTGAAGAGTGAACTGACATCTTTTCAGATTCACCACAAACCATTGAATGATTTTCAAGATCTGATATTAGGAGAAGAAATGGGACATTTGGCCATGCGACAAAAGCCAGTTGAAGAGTTGCCGGACCAAAATATATATGAGGACTCTCTGTTCAATTTTTGCGGTCAGTCTGATTCTAATATCATGCAAGGTTCTAGCTTATCCTCTCTAACACAAGTTGTTGATCAAGATTCTTTGCTGAAACAATCCATGCGTTCAGCATCATGTAAAGACCAGGAACAGAATGGTGAGGATTACTTATGGGCTTTGAGCTTTCCTGCGGAATCAGAGCTGCATAAAGTTCTCAAACCAGTCTTTTCCAACATGGGTTCAACAGATGCTGCTTCCACTGATTCATCTACTCAAACAGCAACAATGTCAGAACTCATCGAGCCTCTGGTTGGGGAGTTCGATGCATGGCTTAGATCAGAAGGCAGTTCAGAGCATCTATTGGATGCGGTGGTGGCGAATGCTCTGTCCACTGGTGCTCAATCTTGTAATAGCTCTTCAACACTTTTAGGTGGGTCTTGTTTGACCGAGTCTAATGGGGGTGGTAGTGGTTCAATAGCTGATGATTCAATTTCGGACCCATGGAGTGGTTACCTGGGGTTTGTTCAGGGTTCCAGAGGAACAAGTGTGAGATCTCCAAGTGGGTTGTCTTCGAAGGCAATGAGCACTATGGTTGAAGGGGAGAGGAAGGAAGTTTTCTCTTGTTCACATTCAAAGAAGTTGATCGAGCCATCAAAGCTTACTAAGCGAAGGGCGAAGCCCGGCGAGAGTTGCAGGCCAAGACCACGGGATAGACAGCAGATCCAGGACCGAGTGAAAGAGCTTCGCGAGATTGTGCCAAATGGAGCCAAGGTGAGTTCTCTCAGCTCAGTGCATGGGTGTTCCTGTTGTTTCTCATTGAAGATTTATTAATCTCTTGGAAAAGCATATCAGACCATTAAATATAGTCATGACTGTCCATTGAAATGGAGAGTGGGACTTACCAGAACAGAACATGACCCCAATTGTGGGTTACACTCTTGATTATGAATCATTTCATTGAACAGTGATGACTGCAATGGACTTTGGTTTCTATTGTCCAAGGAATTGTCATATATTTTGCCTTCCTATTTTGGTTTTTTGGTTGAAGTGTATTGTTATTTGTTGGTAAATACACCTGGTTACGTTAGAATTCTTGCTAAATACACCTGATAATCAGCAATGGAGGTGGTGACATTATCATTTCTGGTATTCAGTGCAGCATAGATGCATTGTTGGAACGCACGATTAAGCATATGATATTCTTGCGGAATGTTACTAGCCATGCAGACAAGTTGAAGCTTTGCTCAAAGGTATCCTGTCTTGTGATGCTCATAAATCTACATTGACCTTCTCCCAAATGCAAATACAATTTGGAAATGGTTTTCATATGTGCCATTCTTCGATATTGAAATTCTATTTCTGCTCCAGATATTCTCAGTTTTTATTTATTTTATTTTTTTGGGGCTTGACCAGGGCAGGATACTTTATGTAAAAGTTGAAAACGGGAGAGTATCAAAGGAAAAGAAAAAATATTTAAAATAAAAAATAGAATGAAGAAAATATGATTTTACCCTACTTAAGTTGAGGTGGGGCCTCTAGTGGTTTAAGTCTTCTGTATAATTTTGAATATAGATTATTATGCACTTGCAAGTGATACTTTTCTTATGACTTACGCTTACATGTATGCATGAATTTATATTTTGAAAAAATATGCATGAAATAAAACGAAGGGGTTATAATCTTGCAAATTTTAGGAACTAACATATTTTTTATGTCTATTATTTTTCTAAGATGTTTGAAAATTGAGATATTTGTTATGAACTTCCTGTGGCTTTGGCTCAGAGCATTCGTTTTAATTGAGACCTTGCAGCTTAGAGTGTTGATTCTTTGTGGTGCAGGTAGCCGATAACAAGCAAAGGCCATTATTGGTAGGGAGAAGCAATAGTGATCAGAGAGGTGCAAGCTGGGCTCTCGACTTGGGAAGCCAGACCGGAGTTTGCCCTGTTGTTGTTGAAAATCTTGATCACCCTGGCCACATGCTTGTTGAGGTTGATCCATTTCTATTTCCTGCTTAACCTGCTGTTAGTGTGTTATTGAAATAAGGAAAATTATTTCATGCGGGCTGGACCGCATTTCTACATATGCGGTCCAGAAAGTACAAAGCATCCATCTTAAAGATGGATGCAATTAGGTGTTCCATTTAAAAACAATAGAAACTAAAGGTCCAAATGTTTTCTTTCTAGAATTATTATTTCTAGTTTTTAAATTTTATTTATTTCTTTATATTCATGATCTCCATGATAGAGATTACACGTCCTTAAAAATTAAGTCTTAAAATCCATCTCAAAAATAGATTAAGAGGTCCACATTTCTACATATGCGGGCTTGGCCGCATAGAAATTGGGTCCTTGAAATAATTATACATTTTTTATGTTGATGATGATGGAGGAAACTATACTAATCTAACAGGCTATGGGAAACTGCACATATTGGGGTCTTGCCTGTTTGATGAGATGGCTGGCGAGGTGTGACATATTAGAACATGACATGACCTCATTGATGGGCCCTACTCTCATCACTGTCTATTATTTGCCTGAATTGGTTAAACCTCAATTCATGATGATTTCTGTAGTCTGTTGCATTGATGTATACTTTCCTATGGTAACTATAATGATAGTTATAATACATAAGAATGATTTATTGTTATATTTATACACAGATGTTATGTGAAGAAGATGGGCTTTTTCTTGAGATAGCGCAGGTTATCAGAAACTTAGGGTTGACAATCATAAAAGGACTCATGGAAGCCAGAGCGGACAAATTCTGGGCTCATTTTGTGGTTGAGGTACCCCCTATGATCCAGATCATCAAACTTTCATTTTGTATTGCTCACGTCCATATGTTTGCTGCAATACTCTTTTTGTTGAAAATTTTGAAAAGGGACAGGTTTCTATACTTCCCCTACTATTCCCCTACTGTATGGAAGGTATATACTTTCCCAATCCCTACTGTATGGAAGATATATACTTTCCCAATCCAACCTGAGTCCATGACCGTATGATCTAGATTTGACTCTTCAAAGTATATTATTTTTACTTTTTTTAAGAAATTATATGAATATAAAATTTGGAACGTGCCATCATCTCAATGAGGAGCACTTAAAAAAATAATAACAAAAATATTTGTGTTAAATTAAAAAGACCCAAATACCCCTAAAAGCTTTTAGGGGCATTTTAGTCATATTATTTTATTCAGAATATTTTTTTTATATTTTTCACAGGTGCACGATTAAGAAAGGAGTGGACCCCCAAAATTTGGTGTCAAAATATTTTGTAGAAAAAATATTAAAAATAAAAGTGTTGGGGCTTAACATTGCGATTGGGGTCATCTCAGCTGTCCATTGGATGGTTGAATAGGGGGATAGTATATAAGTTTTATACATTAGGGGAAGTATTGAAAGCTTGCCCGATCATAGAACGTTCATTTTGTATTTGAATTTGGAAATTGAGATTTTACTCACATCCATATGTTTGCTGCAATACTCTTCTTTGGAAGTTTTGAAAAATGAAGTTTAGGTACATATTTCATGGAGAAAAGTCTTTAATGAGCGCAAAATAAAAAAAAAAAAAAAGATCTGAAACACAAAAATCGCCCAAAGATAAAAAATAAAAAAAGAACCATCTGAAACACAAAAATCACCCAAAGATGGAGAATGCAATACAAAGAGTTCACTTTTGTCAAGGTTAATTTTCATCATTGTATCATGCCCCTTGTGGAAATCAAAAAGTTCACTCTTTCAACAACGGAAATTTGCCCTGCCTCAAAACATACCCAATGAAAGGCATAAATAATTTCTGCAGTCCTCGAATTGTTGGCTTTAGATGATTCTAAGGTCATGTTAGGGGATTTGGGATGTCAGGCTAAGGTAAAAAATTTTCATGTCATCTATTGATTTTTTTTTACAACTACAAAGACACGAGTATCCAAATCATCCAAAAGTTCAGAGAAAATCTGTTAAAAGGGCTACATTTTCAAGAATTCAATTTGCACTGCAGCCAAAATTTCAGGTTCCTTCCATCCATCGATTAGAAGAATGACTAAAATTTGTAGCATGTAACATGAAATTTTTTTTATTATTTAGCTGTTTTCTGTTTACACTTGAAAAACGTAAAAATGTAGGTCTTTTTGCCTTCCTTGGGAACACTGAGATTGAATTGATCTTGTGGACTGCACAGGGACCTAGAGGCATACAAAGAATGGATGTTCTTTGGCAGCTAATGCAACTTTTACAGCCGAAATCCCCATCGACTCAGCTTCAAGCAAATGTTCTTCATGTCATGTGAAACTCCGTCGGCCACTTGATTTTAGTTCAGTAATTTGCTGTTTTTGCTTGGCTTGCGGAATGTATCTATGGTGTTCTAAGGAGTCATTCATCGTGCACAGGAGCAAAAACAGAAACATCCACCATGAAGAAACAACGTTTTGAACTTTCAATAGAGTTGCAGCCTAGTTTGAAGAATGAATTACAGTAAAACTAGGGTCAAGTGTTTCACAAAACTATACACTATCTGAGATGCATTCACCCTCGTGCATACACTAATTAAACAAATTTACATCCGTTGACAATGCTTTGTTATCCTATTTTCGGTCCCTCCAAAGCAGTTGTGAGCTCAAACTAGATTGGGATCTCGAAAAGATAGTGTTTCTTCTTTAGGGACACCTGGTACTTACACCAACCCCTTAAGTAAGACTCCTCAAGGCTCGCCAATTATCCTTTGAAGTTGAAAGAAATATGCCATTTTCTTTCATGGCCCAAATCAAGTGTGGAAATAAGAGCTGTATGCAATCCAATCTTTATGGTGCTTAATCCTTAAGTCAGTGCAACACTAGTTTGAGAAAGAATACTTTTCCTTATCCTGCCAAAATTGTAGTTGAAGTATGGAGCTACCCCACAACCCATTATAGTTGGGGCTTAGTGGGGGACCTGTGTCAGGAGGAGAGTGTGCCACCATCCACATGCAATGTTTGTGGGAAGGTACAAATGGTCGAGGGGAACCTGAGATGGGATACTCCTGTCTATTGCGTCACCTGAACCAAGCTACACCATATAATAAAAAATCCCTCTCAGTATATCTGCACGGGATTGATAGTTTGTTTACGTCAAAAGGTTTAAAATGAGTTTTACGGCACTTTGTTTTCCATCAAATTAGCCACTTTCCCAAAATTGTGCATTGGGGAACGGTTCTGGCCAAACTTACTCAAATGATTGGTGTTTTATGGGAAATCTTCTTCATGCTGTACTCGTTATGGCATTGATTTCATATTTGCTAATAATATCAAATGGGTTTTGTAAAATAAATGACGTAAGGAATGGGTTGAGGTTAAGGTGGTGCTACCACTTATGATTTAGCTACCGGTCTTAGTTTTCATTCCTACCAATGCCAATAACCCCTTTCGAAAACCCTAACGGTTTAAACAATTGCCAACTAACTTCTGCCCGTAAACATTCATGCTAACTTACTACTGCCAGTTAACAATCAAAAAATAATAATACACGATCAATGGAAGTGCCCTTAGTACAGATCTGGCTATAGAGGCGTATACCTGGCCATACTTGTTCCAACCCCAGCAGAAAACCTTTGCATCCTCTGAAAAAGAATAAGATACCAGTCATAGGTTAAGTTAGGTTTGGAAACCAAACCAAGCAAAAAACAGGGCTATTCATGCCAACATGTTAATAGTTATCCACCAATGCAGCGCATGCTTTGGGACTGAATCTAATAACTTGGTGGATTACCAAACATCACAGTTTCCCAATTTGTTGCCATACTGAATCCAATAACTTGGCTGATTACTAAAATCGAGGTTGTCCAAGTAGTTGCCAAAATAAAGTACCAGAAATCTATGATACCATCTGTGGGTAAGCTATTTTATTTTGCACTTTGAAGCCATAATATCAAGATAGGTATATGAAAAACACCCATTAAGATTGCGTCCATGTTTTTCTTGATAATCATAATAGAGGCAGGAGGATGGAGAGGCGTACCAGTTATAATAGCTGTGTGCCGTGCACCACATGATATCATTTTTACATGCTTGTTCTCTAGACTGGTGGCATCCAACAGCCTCGGACGAGTCTGAAAGCAAATAAATCATGACGTTTCCTATCATTTAATGGCTGGTTGTCTGCCATGAGCAAATCCCAATCTCTCTCTCTCTCTCTCTCTCTCTAACAAGGGGGCTTATGAGAAAGTATGGTAAACCACCTCTGCTTGATCTACCCCGGTGCCTAATTGCCCAAACTGATTTCCACCGAAAGCGTAAACCTCGCCAGTCGAGGAGATGCACATGGTATGCCACAGCCCAGCAGCTAAGCCTTGTATTTGGACGCCAGAAAGAGAGGATACAAATGCAGGACTCAATTCATCATCTGTACTTCCTTGCCCACACTAAGACCAAATAGTGCCCATAATTAATCAACGAGTTGAACTCTATCAGCAGAAGATGGTTTCTGAAGGCATATTAAAAGCATAAATTAAAGACGAGAGCGAAACCAATATGGATCTTCCTGGCAAAATCTCATGTTGAACATTTTATTGAGGCTTTTTCTCCATCTTTATCTACAAGGGGCCTACATGTTGATCCTGGGTATTGGTCAATAACTGAATAGTAGATGAAATAATTTGGTAACATCCACAGGACATCATAGGGTAAATGAAGATGAACATAAACATACAAAATCACTGTAAATTATTTAAATCAGTAAGATATGTGACTTCTCAATCCTGCAATTGGAGGCCAGGTTAACAAGATCAATGCGAGAAAGTAGGTGAGATATAGGTGTTTGTTTTAGCTAGCTCATCGATGTATGAAAAATAGCTGACTCAAATAATAAGGATAAAGCTCTGATGATGATGATAGTGATCCATGTATGAAAAATAATAATATGCAAGAAATGGGCTGAGAAGCTTTTCAAACCCATCGTCCGTTCATTATGCCTGCCTTTCCTTTCCTGATAAGTGAGAAGTCAAGACTAAAGATAACCAACGCAACTACAATATGCAACTGTTTTAAGTCTATGCATATTTAGTGCTTTTTCTTCCTTTCCTCTCTAGGCTCCCTTTCAAGAGGATAACAGATTCATGAATCCATGAAGGAAATTGGGAAAGCCTAACTCATTTCATTGAAATGAAATTCTGATAAGTGCAATCCAAACGAAGAGAAATAAGAGATTTTTAAGAGTAACGATTTTGTGACACTCCAAAATGAAGATTGTATTAAAATAATGAACCTACATAGCATTTTTTTTTTTGGGTAATTTGAAACTACATACCATGCTTTTCTCAAGGAAGTGAAAGGTTATTTTTTATTTTCATGCATCAAATCAGCTCATATAAGCTAAAAAAATTCGATGAAAATTCAAACTGAGCCAAGGCACATAAGCCAACATATATCTAGTAGACTCCTGGTAGTTGGAAACAAGATCATGAAAACAAGATGAGAAAAACTGCGAGTTGGTGCACATAGAAATTTTAGCAATTTAGTCACATAAAACGATTGCGGTAATTGCAAAATCAACAATTGTTTTTGTCGATGATAAGTCCAAAAGTAATTTTATGTTTTTATGAATATATTTGATAATATTATTGGAATGACGTAAATGTAACATGTACTTTGAAGGTTCAATTAAATATAGTAAGAAAGGGGTTTCCCACTCGTGACCCTTAAGGCCACAATAAATTTTTGCATTTGCCTATCACTACTAAATACTACAAAGGCTATCATACAAGGAATTGAGAAGACGATGGTTTCTCAAAAGAGTATGAAAAGCAATTAAGAGGAATGTGCCTCGATATCTTGATCAAAAGAAATATTTCAGTATCAACTAAAAATGAAATCCATAAAAGTTGTTTGCTGTTCAACACAACTACAATATTACCTATAAAGGTATGTCATCAATGAATAAACTTTCTTTCTAACAGGCGCTAGCATAGAATTTTGTGAAGAAGCTCCATGGGAGAAAAGGTGATGACTCACATCACTCATGAGTAGATATCAAATTACATAGAATAAAAATATTGACATGGTTGCATAAACATGTTAACCTAAAATACCTACCTGCCCATATTGTCCCCAGCCAAAGGTCAGCAGCGCTCCAGCATCTGTTATGCACATAAATTTAATGTAAAATCTTCTACAAGCAAATTAATAAAATGAAAAGAAAACTATTAGGGGCCTGACATCCCCACGAATACACCAAAAAAAAAAAAAGAAGAAGAAGAAGAAGAAACCATGTGCAAGCCATAAATGGTCCACTCATACGGACAAAAGATCATCCAAAATGTATAGCTCAAACAATTGCACAATTACTTGATTCAAGTAGGACGGGAGCACTGCACTATGCATTGCACATGAATTTCTTTGGCACTCATGCAATAACATTTACTTGTCCTTGTTAGGCAAAATATTATACATAGAAATATCAAAGCTGGCATACTAATTCATAAAACAAAGTAAAATACATATGGAATTAATGAAATGTATTGTCTCACCTGTGAGCACTAAACTATGTCGGCCCCCACATGCAATAGCCGTTACATAACTTCCTGGAACCTTATGAAACTGCATATCAGAAGTGATGTTTCCTCTCAGACCTGCCGTGGATTTGTCTTTACAGTAAGAAGAGGTCTCGATGCACGCGATAGGATGGGGAGAGGAAACTGTTCGAATTCGAAAACCCAATCCTAGCTGCCCTTCCCCTCCATAGCCCCAACCCCACACCTGACCTATATCTGAAACTTTGGGGAAAAAGATAAAAGTACTTTAGGGGTTTCCTTATTCTATAGTCTATACCTCACTAGCTTCATACAACATAGAGTTTCCTGACTAGTGTGTGCATGTGTATCTTTGTCGTGTGTGTGTGTGTGTGTGCGTGTGAGAAAGAGAGAGAGAGAGAGAGACAGAGAGAGAGAGAGAGAGAGTGAGAGAGAAGAAGAGAGAGAGAAAGATCATGCACATGTTAGGGAATGATGATGTTACCTGACAATGCCAAAGTATGCCGCCCACCTGCAGCAACTGAGGCAATCCTCACTCCAGGACTCAATGTGACTAAACATGGTAATGCCGAAAACGATTCTTCATTGCTGCTTGAGCTTTCAGAAGCTTGCTTTTGTGTCGATAACCTTCTACGCTTGGAGCCTTCCTCACTCCCTTTATATTCCTGACTAGATGTTGTTCCAGAACTTGATCTTGAAACTGAATGAATTGCTTGAGATTTGGGACTCACTGAAGCTATCTTGCCTTCTGATATATCTGTCTGCAAGAAAGCAGGGGTTTTGTCCCTTGTTCCTGTGATGGGTTTGCCACTCTCAATATAATGAAAACTATCCAAAAATGTCGTTGTTGAATGAGAACAAGAAAATCAAAGTCAATGTAGAGACAATCATTTACAACAGGGTCAAAAGTTTTAAACCCCAGTTCCCTAATAGGAAAAACCTAGCCAACTGAGTTTTCCAAAATTGGAGGAAGCTTGGACAAGCTTTTTATATTAGGAAAATAGCGTTGTTTCAACAGCAGAATTCAAACTTGAGACCAAGACTAAAGAAGGGACACATACCACCACATAACCCGCATCATATTTTGGCACATACCCTGGTGTATTTAATTCAAAAGAAAAATAGAAAAAAATTTCCCAAACCCAAGTATTTCATCAGAAAAACACAGGCAAAAAATCGGTTAAGTTTACTCAGCTCCTTCCAGTTCATTCTGGACTTTAGAGAGAAAATAGTTTATAGAAGCCCCTGTAAGAAAATAGAACATGAGACCAAGACTAAAGAAGGGACACATACCACCACATAACCCACATCATATTTTGGCACATACCCAGGTATATTTAATCCAAAAGAAAAATAGAAAAGCTTCCCCAAACCCAAGTTTTTCATCAGAAAAACATGGGCAAAAAATCGGTTAAGTTTACTCAACTACTCCTTCCAGTTCATTCTGGACTTTAGAGAGAAAATAGTTTATAGAAGCCCCTGTAAGACAATGGCTATTTTGCAGATCTGAAATAACCTTGATTAAGATCCTTCTCCATTACTCCTTTCAATGCCTGATCGACCACCAACTTACCAGTTGGAACACACTCCTTCCAGCCCCAAGTATAGACTTCTCCACTGTCTGCAGTTTAAAGTAATGCAGCTACTTACATATCTAGCTAAACATGATGGAGCGAGAACCAAAAATGAAGATGAATTAACCGAATATTGATAACTATACCGTGGATTATGGCAATTTATATAATACCTGTGACTGCGACACAGTGAGCCCAACCAGCACCAGCCTTCAATATAGGGGCATCATTTTGAAGTGGGTATGGTTCTGGAGTTTCCTAGATGAAAAACAGAAGAAAGATTGTTGATTAAACCTAGAAAGGCCTACCTTTTCACATTTATAGTAGGATCCTAAAGTAATAGTAAAGGTACCTCATGCTTCCCAGCTGTCACATAACTTTGGCCCATGTTTTCTGTAGAACCCCAAGTATTGAGCTTTCCGGATTCTGCAATCAAACAATATCATTTAAAGACAGCCATCAGATAATAACCTACTCATCCAAAGTGGCAATGCCAAAGGTGAATTCAGATGATAAAAAAAAAGCCCAAGAACTGGGAATTTGGACAATCTCAGTCAAAATCAATTGCTAATCTAAACATACGATTTCCTGCATCAGAAATAATTTTTTCTGATCATTTAAAAGATGAAATAGATAATTCTTTCAGAAGGCAATAAAAGTTAGCATTGGGACAGCAGCCAGAAGTCTAATATCTGTGAAATGCATATACAAATCTGAGATTTTGAATAAGTTTTGTAAAATGTAAACTTATAAAGTCATGTTGTATTTCAATAGGATTACATCCCAGAAACTTAAGCCCATGGTCGCAGCAAATAGAAACCAGAAAATTGGGACTTACAGATCCACCGCTCCTATAGGCCTCTATACCATGACAGAAGATATCGTAAATGCAGTGTATGGATGAAAGCACAAATACTATACAATCCAATTAGTTGATCACCAAACCCCAGAAAGGGAGTTTAAGAACTGCAAATCGAGATTATGACAATCCGATTAAGTTGCCCATATGCCAAAGAAGTAAAATGGGGAGGCAAAACAGTTGGAAATTGGAATATGAGGCAGCTGAATATCAAACTTCGTCAAATTGAGGTCAATAATGAGGAGAAGCCCAAACATTTTCTTTAAAAACCACAATGGCAAGTAAAAATGAATCAAATGATGCAGATGATTTGATTTAGAGAGCTATTGAGCAGATAAAAGGTGTTCAACCACTAACAAAATGTATCTGATGAAATTATTGAAATCTTTACAATTAAATGGAGAATGTTTTACGAGGAAACTAAAAATAGGAAGGTAATTAACCCAACAAAAGCTCAAATGCAGCTGAAGATATCACACAATTGTGCTGTGTTCCGCTAAAGTTTATGTAAATCAGGTATTCAAAAGCAAATTTGTTATTTGATGGATGAAAAATTAAACCTACGCTAATAAACTATGGAACAAACTAGGTAATGATATAAGAACCAGAAAAATAGAACATCAATTGATCATGTAACGAAAAACTGTTTCAGTACCTTGAAAATAAAAATAAAAAGAGAAGTCAAACAACTAGAGACGCTGAGAAATCATAGAAAATCCAGGAGAATTCCGTAGAAAAACGTGAAATACAATATAAATGAACTGCTGAAAAAAAAAAACAAAGTCATGTTCAAATGAACTGAATTTTCACCCAAGATAAATGATTCCTGCGAAGTTAACTATAGAAAAAAGAGTCAAAAAATGGCGAACATAAGCAACAAATAAAAAGCATGAAACAAGGTAATCACCTGAAATAGCCATGGCAAACCCACAACCACCTGGACAAACATCTTTCCATGAATCCTCTGGCGTAGGTTTAGGTACAGGAGTTGGAAGAAGCAGAGGGGCTCCTTGTGGAGAAGCACCAGGAAGATAGCCCCACATAAACACTGCTCTCTCCTTCTCCTCCGCACTGACCCTGACTCCTTTTCCCGCAACTTCTTCACCTCCACTCTCGTGCATCCCAAACAAGTAACTCTAAAAACCTTAACTTTCAGAGCAAAGTGACAACAAAAGGCCCAGGCTCTGAATCAAACGTGAAAAGAATCAATTCCTTCTGCAAACAAGCTTGATTGTCCGAAACCAAAGAACTCAAAACTCCTTAATTATTGAAAATAGAGAACACTTTCATCTCCTCCTCAACCACATCAACTGAGAGCAAAACCCTTATTTCCGCAAACTAACACGAGAGAAATTCTTTGCCAGAACTAAGAAGCTCTCTAAGTTCAGTATCGTAAAAGCCCTTCCTTTGTTCTTCTTACTCTCTGCAACACTCGAAGAAACAGCAACGAGGAGAAACCAGAAGCTCGAGAAACCCTAACTTTCCTATAGAGAAGCGTATCTCGTTTCCTTTTCAAAACCCGAACGTGTTCTTTCCTCTCAAGGAAACCAAGCGTCCTCTTCTTAAATGACAGAGAGAGAGATCCTCGCCCTAGTTTTGTTAGAGAGAAACTCTTGCCCTGGTTGCGTTAGAGAGAGAGACTCTTGCCCTAATTTTTCTAGAGAGAGAAGCTCAATTTTGCATTTCTTCTCTTACAGCTACTGCTATTGTGCAGAGTCAGAGGGTAGAGAGAGAAAAGTAGAGAGAGAGAAAGTGTATCATTTTCGGGGCGATGGCGAAGCCACGTCGATTAGTGCCACGTGGAATTAGCCTCTAACTTCATGACAGATGGCACGATCCGAGCCTCTGGGGGGTTCGGAAGCTTCCAAGCCACGAATTAGGTTTCCCCCAAAGAAGCTTCTGGAAACCCTCCGAATCATTTCCGAGCTTTCGGAATTTGAACGTGTGCTGAAGTTTATACGTGGTCCAATGTATGAACGCCATCTGCCCTCGTTTTATTTTTAACTTTTAATTCTCAATGAATAGTTTGTGCAGTGATGTTTGCTGTTGGGGTTTTTTTTTTTTCTCGGCAACAACATCCATTTATTCTTGGATTTTTTTTTTAATTATTTGATGCTTATGGTTATGCTTGTAGATATCAGTAAGCAATAACACCATTTATCATTTATACAAAGAGATAACAATTACTTGCTATTAGAGTATGTATATCTATATTGACATACATCATTATGAATGCATAAACTGATATGTATATGTATGAATATATATCTCTTAGGTGTTTCTTGACTATGATAAGATTAGATAGTAGTTATCCATAACCGTTGGTATTTATTTTTAATTGTTACTAACCGTATATTTATACAGGTCTTATATGTTCTTTATGAATCAATCTTATATGTTCTTTATGAATCAATCAATAAACAGAGAGTTCTCTATAGTATTATAAAATAATCTTTTATAGGCCCAAATATACAGAAATACAGTTTCTAACATGGTATTAAAGTTCTTTGCATATTATGAAATAATTTTCTATGGGGTCTAAGGCTCAAATATACAGAAATATAGTTTCTAATATGGTATCAAAGTAAAGTTCTCTGCAATCTTCTTCAATAGAAAGCTTTTACTGAGACGCACACAAATAGTTTTGAACGGCAAGTAGATTTGCTTGCAAAAAAAATAATTGATAGAGATTTGCTTGCAAAAATTAGGCACGAGTTATTGCATTGCTTACTCTCGTCAGCGTTTTGCATCGAATTGCATTGCTTGCTCTCGCCGTTGTTTGGCCCAACGCTACATAAGCATTCTAATCCCCTCCTTGGTATCTACCCTAACAATCCAATCCACCCCAAAGCAGCACAAGAGAGCTTGCACCATCTATATACAAAATCTTTGCTTCCATTCAATATGCATTCTATTCCCTTGCACTTTGAATGTGCTTTGCATTTTGAATCCCTTGATTGGCTTTGAGGGGTTTGAGAAGCTACTTGAGATCATATTCTTGAAGCCCCCTATCTTTGTTGACCCCAAAGGTCTTGGCCTTCACGCCCTATCTCGAGCACAATTCGAAGAGATCATTGACTCTGCACGGTACATAATTGTCGATTAATCAATTGTCGGTTCTCTCTCTAATGAATTCCTCGACTCCTATATCCTCTCAGAGTCAAACCCCTTTGTTTACCCCAACAAAGTCATACTCAAAACTTGTGGGACAACCAAGCTTCTTCTATCGATCCCTTCGATTCTAAAGCACAAAAACTTCAACTCTCATATCCGTCAAAACCTTCAGCTCTCATATTCGTCTATAGATGAATTAATCAACACTCTCAATTTAGTGAGAGAAACTCATAGACCAAAAAAGCACTGCCAAAGGCGTCCGAGTCGTGTTTCGACTCTCTGTCTGGTCTGTTTCGACTCTCTGCAAAACAACCTTTGTCTTTATTACGGCCTGTGTTCTGGACTGCGAGTTGCTGAATCTATCTTGGATTTTTATCGAGTTATGTTGGCTCTTCCAAGAGACCACTGCTTCATGTGTGCTTCTTCTTCAAGCAAGAGACCTTTGTGCTTCTTCTTCAAGCAAGAGACCACTGCTTCCACTACTTCTATTGGTCACGCCATGCACGTGAAAACTTAAAGATCCAACTTGTTTGTTTATGCAACTTATTAATCAAACTCCAGCTGTTTTGTGTAAAAGCATCTTGAGTTTAAGGCGGAGTATTAGAGTATGTATATCTATATTGATATACATCATTATGAATACATAATGAGATATGTATCTGTATGAGTATATATATCTTAGGTGTCTCTTGATTATGATAAGATTAGTTAGTAGTTATCCATAACCGTTGGTATTTATGTTTAATTGTTACTAGTCATATATTTATACTGGTGTTATATATTCTTTATGAATCAATCAATAAACATAGAGTTCTCAGTAGTATCCTGAAATAATCTTTCATGGAGGCCTAAGTCTCAAACATACAGAAATATAGTTTCTAACACTTACAATAATTTGATGTGAAGTCTGATAGCTTACGTGTGTCACAAAGGTTGAAAAATTTCTTTTGAACTTTGAGGTTAGTCAATAAAATAAATTCAACCACCTACATTATATCCAAGGGGCAAATATAACTATGACCACCTTGTACCAAATGTAAACGGTCTCACTATTTACTATAATCAAATTAGAGCCCACCTCAAAATTTCATTAGAAGAAGTTGTTTTGATGCCCAAATATCCTCAAATTGATCATCTCGGCATCAAGATGCATGAACATGAGCAAAAAATGGATTTCAAGTTTTGAAAATATTGCATCTTATAACACATATTCTTATCATCAATTTTCAATCTTTTCATATTTTTCATTTTGCCAAAATAACAAAGCTTTCTTTTATTTGTATTGACGTTTTTCCTTTTTGTGAATGTAAAAATTTGGACCATTTATGGATTTGCTAAGTTTTTCTTTTTATTTTTATGGACATGGTTTTCATGCAGGCTAACTAACTGGCCCGTGTAAAATTTTCTTGTCCAACTAAGTTGGACAGGAGAGATTGCAGCGATTGCCTACCATCACCACCTCCCAACCAAGTTGGATGGTGGAGATTTCATGTAGCTTAGTGAGCTAGCCATGAAACAATTTACCTATTTTTATAGTTTAATTTTTTTCTTTTAAAACTTTTCAAGGGTTAGTCAACGATTTTGCATGATGTGCTTATTTTTGTATTTTGCATTCCCCTTTTTGTTTTTGTTAAGCTCAATTCTATTCTCATTAATTGTTTTTTTTTTCAACTTTTAGCATATAATTTCTCTTAGTCCATGGCAATTTGAGTCCATTACGATTCATTTTGCCTTCTTAATTTTTTAATTTTATTTATTTTTTGATAGAATTCAAAATTTATTCATAAGAAGGTACATATTACATCAACGAATCCACATTATCAACAATCGCCAGCGAATCCAAGAGAACTCCTCTCTTAGCCAAAGAATCAAGCACAACGTTAGCATCCCTATAGACATGTTCTACAGATAAAGACAATAAAGACAAAAATCGAAAATCTGCAACCCGATCAGTTTAAGTTGAGAAGGAAGCCGTTGTTCTTTCTTGCATCATCTAATAACATTAAGCGAATCCCCTTCAATAATAAAATCACCTCCAAAATTCCTGTCCATAATAAGTTTCAAACCATTCAAAACTCTAAGTAATTCAGCATGGTTAGTTAGTTGTACTACCGCAAGATCCAGCATATGCAAGTAAAACATTCCCTTGGCAATCTCGGATTACTCCACCAAAAACCAACTAGACCTGGATTCTCCAAAGAGCTACCATCAAAAATCAACTTTAGGACTCCCTGATTTGGTGTCTTCCATCTAACATAGAGTCTATTTCTAGGCTTATCCAATTGAAAAATATTCGAAAGATCAATCATAACATCAGTTTTGGAAATACCCCAACCCTCTTTAGTAACTGATAACCATGACTGTAGACTTAATTTGATGTTATTCATCACCTTTTCTAAGCTAGAAACCACCCCTTCAAAAGTTCTCTTGTTCTTTTCCAATCACACTTCCCACAGAATAGCTCCCCATAAAACTTTCCAAATTTGTCCTCCAACTTTTGGTAGAGGCACATCCATTTGAATAATCAGATCCAAAACATTTTGTGGTAGTAATAACATTATCGCCATCAATTGAAAACACCACCACCAAATTTTGGACATAAACGAGCAGTGAATAAATAAATGCGCCCATGTCTCTCCATCATCCTTACACATTAAGCACACATTCGTAATTATCTTCCCTCTCTTAATGAAATTATCTAGGATGAGGACTTTATCTTGAGCTGCCAACTCCCCTATTGATCCACATACTAGACCTATCCGCATCATATTTAGAGGCAAGCACTTTATACCACAACTAATCTTTAGAATGAACGCTTCGCCACCACCATTTGCATAACAGTGCTGCATTCATAAGTGACAATCATCTTAAACCTAAAGGCCCCTCACCTTTTGGGGTAAAAACCTTATCCCATCGAATAGATGATATTTTCTCTCTGCTCCAAAAGAACACCATAAAAAATGCCGTATCATAAATTCAATATGCCTTGCCACTACCCTTGGTATGAGCATCAAAGACATTTGATAAATTGGTAGATTTGCTAAGCAAGAAAGCAGCAAAGTAACACGTCCACCCAAAGAGAGATACTTAGGCTTCCATAGATTGAGCTTAAATTGAACTCGTTGAATTGCATTATCCCAAGCAGCAATAGACACATTCCCTATCGAAATAGGTAGGCCCAAATATTTGAACGAAAAAACGTCCACCCTACACCCAAACCGAACAGCTAAGCTTTGAACCACTTCCTCATCACAATTGACCCCAATCATTGTTGTTTTACCAAAATTCACCTTCAATCCCATAAGAACCTCACAAGAAGTAAGGAAAAGCTTAATATTGTTAACTTGAGCAACATTCGCATCACAAAAGAGCAGCATATCATTAGCATACTGTAGATGGAAGATCCGCAAACCTTTATGGGCAACCTTAAAGTCATTGAAGTAACCCTTATCCACAATATTACAGATCATCTTACTGAAGCACTTCGTGTATAGAGTAAAAAAAAAGGGTGACAAGGGGTCACCCTGTCTAAGGCCTCTGGAAGCCCTAAAAAAACCTTTTAGGCTACCATTAGTTAGGATCGAAAAATGAGC